ATATCGAGGGGGGAAAAAAGTATAGTGACATAATTAAAAATAGTTGGATGTCTGAAAATATTTTCTTTCTCGCTTTGTATCTCCATCGTTAAACATGGTTAAGTTTTAGTACATCATTGGATAAAAGATGGGGAGTATTCAAGACATAAAGGATCGCATCAAATATTCATTGAACTATGCAATATATTTTATACTTGATAAAAACAAATCTTAGCAAATTGTTTCTTATATTTATAATAAGTATAATAAAAAAACCATTTTAATAAGTATTTTAGAGTACTATGTACATAAAAAATTATTTTAAACTACTGGGTGCCAGTTAAAAAATATTTCACTTTGTTAAATGATCCTTAGAAAAGTACATATTTATCACCCCATTTTACCGCAAAACGGTGTGGTTTCAAGGTAAAAGAAGGCAGGGAGCGTAACCAAAAAGGAGAGAAGCCAAGTTCATTAAAAACCCTCTCAAAGGCAAAGTATAATTGATCACTAATTTTCCAATTCGCAGCCTCTTAACAATCTATCATTTTCCTCGGGTACCCTAATTAGATGACGTGTGGTGATGGGTGCATTACCAAAATGAATTAAAATTTTCTTAAAAATATAAATTTGTTAACAGATTATAAAAAAAATTTGAAGAAATGGGGAAAAATGCACATAACTCAAGAAATTTTTCTCAAGTGAGAATTAAAGAAAAAATTTGAAGAAAAAAACAATTTATTAGAAAAATAGTGACAGTAACGAAACCGTTGTTTGGATAACTAGTTCCATAAGAAGAACGTGGAATACTTTAGAAAAGAAAATGCAATGAATAAAAACAAAGGTAGCGTCTAATTAATTGCACCATGATACAATTACTGAGAAAACATCGTCCGCAGTTATTTGACTGTTACTGAATCTCTAAGTTGATCATGTCAGTTACTCAACCCTTATTATAAGATCTTTTAAAGAAAGCAGTTAAAATTAGTTAAAAATAATTAATATGTACCCAATGCAATTTTTTCCAAATATACCCTTATATATAAATGGGTAAATGTGAGAGAATAATAGTGAGATAAATTAAAAAAAAAGAGAATGTATTAAATACATTAAATTATGGATAAAATAGGTAATAATATATTAAATGCTCAGACAAACTCAAAAAGGATCTTATAAAAAGGGACAGACTTATTTAAAAAATTAGATCTTATAATAAGGAACGGAATAGTACAAACTAAATTGTATACTAACTCTCATTCTTAATATAAGATTTAATTAACTAATTTGAATAGAATAAAAAAATACTAAATTATTTTAAACTATTTATATTTATCACTTTTCTTCAACTAATTTGTTTCACTCATAAATTGAGATATAATTTAATAATCTATATAAGTAGCTCAGAAAAGTCATATAATATATGCTATAATTAAATTATTTAATAACTTTATTAATCTTCTCAAATTAGTTGATTGTATCTTATATTAAAGATTGGAAGGAAGTATAAACTTCAATTGAGTGTGTATGTGATATTGTTCTTTTGGGGTTTTAACTTTTGTTTCTTGTTGATTTGGATGTTTTTTGCGATCCTGGTGTTAATTACACAAATCAAACCGGAGCCATAGCTCAACGACATTATTTATTAGTTTGTGCTCACAAATCACAATCATCATGTCTAGTTGAGTCCTGAAGAAGATGATAGGGTAAATCTACAGGTGGTTGATTGATTATTTTACTTGGGAAGTCGCAAAAAAAAAAAAATCATATTAGGACTGTGGATTACCCAAGAATATATACTATTTTGTTCCTTATTATAAGATTATTTTTAATTAAATTATGCAGTTTAAGAAAATAATTAAAATTAGTGAGAAGCAATTAATATGTAGTAAATATAACTTTTTTTCAAATATATCCTTATATATAAATAGATAAATGTGAGAAAGTAATAGTGAGATAAATAAAGAAAGAAAATGTATTAAATTTATTAAACTAAAAATAAAATAGATAAAAATATATTAAATGTTCCAACAAACTCAAAAAAATCTTATAAAAAAAATTAAACCTATTCAAAAAATTGAATCTTATAATAAATATACATGTAAACACACACACATATATATATATACACAGATACACACACATATCACCGTGTCATGTAACGGGGGAAGCAATTATGAATCGTGACGCTGCCAAATCAAAGAATCATACATATCTTACTTGACACGAGATTCGATGTGTACCCATCGATAACTCAGGATACGGCCTAATGCATCCCCGCTAGCCTCCAACTCTCCATCACGTGAATCAGCAGAAGGCCCAGTTAACTTAGACGTGGCTCCCACATCGCACAGTCTCAAAATCGGCTGCATCATATTTATTCATTCTTCACGCGTTCTTCTTCATAAATGAGTGATGTGCTTGTTGTTTCAAACAGTTATAAAACGGCAAACAAATAGTATCTCCAGTTTTTAATTTGAGTTTTTGTTTAATTTTTATTTTAATTCTAAATATAAATTCTCAATCTATTTTATCTCTTATATTTATATATATTTTTAAAATAATTCTTAATGATAGGTATAGCTAATGCACTTAATTAATAAGAATATTTTAAAAAAGACAATATCTATTTATTATAAATAACTAACTTAACTTATTTTTTTAATCTTTTTAAATAAATCAACTAGTTTTTATAATTCGGACCGAAACTAATATATAGCAATAATCTTTTGAAAGTGACAATTAAAATAAAAAACGGACAGAGGGAATACACTTTAATTATGTTAGATAAGGAATTAATAGAAATAAATTTAATCAGACATGAAAACCACGTTTAAAGTTTTAATATTATACTCCATGATAAGAAATCTGTCTATATTTGGTTACTCTCCTTTGATATATTGCTGCCGTTTCAAAGCTCCTTTTGAAACGAGAGACACGTACGGCTTCTTGATTGGTACTATGCTCAACATTTGATAGAATGAGTCCCATTTTTCACCATTTGTGACGTGTGTATTTTACTGTGAACAATGCTGCTATCCTTCTGCAATTAAGGTTAATTTTAGTTGTTGACAGATAAACTGTTGCTTAAATTAAGAGTAGCCATCTTTCTCTCTCTTACGTACGCCCGCGCGCACACATTTTATTAATTTAAACGTGTTATATATGTACGTAGACATCGTCAACCAATCGTGTCAATTTTGCATTCTTCTTAGAGATAAGAATCAATAGGGAATTGCAGCTTTGAAATAATATATTCGTTAACATGTCTGTGCTAAAAATTAATAGGCCGTCTCTCGTTGGTTGCCTCTCGACGGGAGCACAAATCTTTAGAAGAACCACATTTTAAAAAGGAAAAACTAATTTAGAGACCCTTATAATTTACTTCAGTTTTGAATCAGGTTCTAAATTTTTTTTTTTAATTGGGTACTTTAACTTTCTACTTTTAGAGCTGTTAGTCCCAGTGGTTTAAATCTGTTAAATAAGTATTGACGCGGTTGAGAATTTCTGTTAAAAGGCACGGCCTACTCAATAATAAAAAGCCATGTCTAAAAGCTTCTTCCACCTTGCCAAGCTCTCCTCTCTCTTTTTGCTCAGTCCTCCTCTTATCCCTCATTCTCTCAACCTATAAATCGCTCACAATTTCTTCTCATCTTACCATAACACCTCCCTACGGTCACGTCTCTTTCTCTGTCCAACTTGAGACCATTTGAATCCTCTTTCAATAAATGAGAATTATTTTGCAATTTTGATGGATGCAACCTCATGAAATGTATTGGAGGTCCTTTAACCAAACCAAATACTATTGTCATAGTAAAGCACAAAATAGGACCCAGAATCTTGGCCATGCCATGTAGATGCTTCACAGATCAATGCTTAAGCACAAAAGTAAAGATGCATTGGTTCTAAGAAATTTTCTGATGCCTCTGAAAATTAAGGTGATGATGTTCAAATGGCCAAAAAGTTGTTTGCAAAACAGAAAAACAATTATATTTTTATTCAAGCCCCTGCTTTAGTAATAGAAAAACAGAAAGATCAAGGAAGTAACCAACAACTTCTCCAAAGCTAAACTAGACTAAATGCCCAACAAGGTTTGAGTCATTGCCAAGTCAACCATGGTAACCTTGTCCACTTGCTTGGTTATCGTGTCAAACTGGATTGCCAATCCCTTCTCATCTGTGAATTCATCTCTAGGTACAGTTTCACAATTGTGTCGTTCAAGAATGATAGGGGAGATGTTGATGAATAAGCAAAAAGAGAGAGGAGAGCTTGGTCCTGAGGTTGCAATAATAGAAGGAGACGATGCTAACCAAAAGAGAAGATGATGTTTTTAGAAGTGGCAATCAAGTGGACAGTGCTTTTTAATGAAAATTCTTAACAATGTTAATACTTATTTAACGAATTTAAACTATAGGAACTAACAACTCTAATAGTGAAAAATTAAAGGATCTAACAAAAAAAAATTCAAGGACATGATTCCAAACTAAGGTAAATTATAAGGAACTCCATATTAATTTTCCCTTTTAAAAATTAGGAGTTTGGAAACCCAACACTTTACAAGGTTCCCTTTTCAAGAAAACCTATCCAACGTTAGAGGGGTGATCAAAATCTCATAAACTAGAAGATAAAAGAAACACATCCCATCCAGATCACATGTCATACAAAGATCCACCATTTGTTGGTCCCCTATCTGGCTTCTTAGAGTAAAAATCTTGCACCTCTCTAGATTTTATTCTTTATAGTGAAAAGCAGAATCCATCTACCGCACGGGTTCATTGGTTTTTTGAATCACGAGGCTAAGTTCTTGGCAGCTACAAACTTTAACATCATTCATTTCCTTTCCTAATCATACATGTGGAAGGGACAAGTCTTTGACGTTGGCAAAAAACAAAAAACAAAAATGAAAAATAAGTATTTGACGTTAATGACCCTGACCCTAGCTAGCCCATTATAAATTGGCTGATTCTCTTGCTCTTGCAGTAAACAAGAAAGCATTGCCTTTTTCTTCTCTCAACCTTACCTCCATGGCTTCCAAACCACAAGCTTTGGTCCTCCTCCTTTGGCCCTTGTTGCTCCTCTCTCACTTGAGCTCATCCCTAAGCTGCCCAATTGTCACCTACTGGGGCAAGAATGTGAATGAAGGAGAGTTGGATGCAGCATGCCAAACCAAAAAGTACGAGATCATCAACATAGCATTCATGAACACATTCGGCAATGGCCAAACTCCAAACATAAACCTAGCAGGACACTGTCATTGGTCCTGGGGTGTCCCTTGCACTAAATATGCCTCCCAAATAGCCACTTGCCAAAGCCTGGGCGTCAAAATCTTCCTTTCTCTCGGAGGAGCTTCTGGTGATTACGCCTCCCAAATTATTTCTATTCAAATACAGATATCTCAATCCAAGCATCAATCCAATGCTTTTAGGTATTTTTCCTTCTAGTTAGTTATCGGAGAGATACAACTCTTGCAAAAAGGGAAAACCTGAAAGATTAGGTAACATGCGTGCCTGTCAATCGATTTCATCCTAAATCCAAACTTTATAATGAATGTCTATCGCACCATGATATATTAGAAATGAACCTCGCAAGGTGCCCACTGAAGTTATTGTAGCTGAGTGTTAAGCTTTTCAAAGTGCATATATCCCCTAGTGATGTTGGGACTTCATTGTGGAGATGATTATTGGAGATATCAAGAACCTCATGAGACTTCATTATGTTTCCAAAACCATCGAGAATGAAACCGCTAAGCGAATTGTAATTGAGGTCCAGTTTATGAAGATTGAAGGTGAAATTGGAAGTCCAATAAAATATGGTTGATGATGTCAAATGATTGTCAAAGAGATCAAGATGGACAAGAGAGGAAAGGTTGGGATTGAAAGATGTAAAGATGAGATTATTTGATGAAAGGCTACAGTTTATCAAATAAAGCTCTTGAAGATTGGAGCTGAAGTAATTCAACGTCGTTACTGACGTCAGGTTATTAAAAGAGAGATCTAGATCAATGAGGGAAGGAAAATGAAAATAAGAAGATAGGAAGTGGAGATTATTAGTTGAAAGACTGCAATTTTGTAAATAAAGCTGTTGAAGCTTGAAGCTGACGTTGGAGGGCCATTGAAATAAAGATGATTTCAAGTTATTATGAGAGAGATCAAGGGTGACAAGAGGAGAAGAATAGTTTGAAGGAGAAGCACACAAAGGAAGGCTATGGGCATAAGAAATGCCACATCCGCTTAGTCCCAATTTTGTTAGTGTCGGCACAAGTTTACCAACTATGAACTACAGCCACATCAACATCACTCACATAACTCAAGTCAAGATTTGTTAACAAAGAGAGCTTTGATATCCACTCTGCATCACTATTTTTTCTATTGGCTACTGTGAGATTCATATTGTAACCAAGCTGCAGTGTGTGCAACATGGAGAGATTCCCAAGTTGATAAGGAATCACTCCAACAAGATTATTTTCTCCAAGATCAAGGTACTGTAACTTGGAGAGATTTTTGATTTGCCAAGGGATAGCTCCCTCCAAGTCACTGAAACTCATATCAATATATTGTAAATTTGAGAGCTTGCCCAATTCCTTGGGAATACTTCCAACAAAATTAGAATAAGTGAGGCTGAGATACCTTAAGTTGGTGAGGGACTCTATGGACTGAGGGATGTCACATGGATAGAAACAATTGTGACAGAGATCCAAATGTTTCAGATCATGCAAATCACTCAACAAAGTAATGTTAATGGTGCCAGCCATATAAAGTGGACCTGAAGCATGGAGATCAAGGATTTGAATGTGACCTGTTTGGTTGCTGCAATGAATTCCTTTCCAGTTATAACAACCTTCATCATCTCCGTCCCTCCATGTCGACAGCATACCAGAGTCAGCATAGATGCCTTCTCTGAACAACAGAAGAGCTTTCCTCTCTTTCTCGATGCACTTCTTCAATGCTTCACCATCAGTGGCCAAACTGAGTTTTCTATGCAGCAACAACAGCAATGCCAATAATGCATAACAAAATTTGAACAAACACCTCATCACAGCAACGAAATAGCTTTGATACAAGTTCAAAAGCGAAACAACTAGAGAGGATTAAAATACACAGTTCTTGGATAACTGTGGGTTCTTTTGTTTATTTTTCTCACTGCATGAGATGTTGTGAGGCACAGAAAATAGATCGTCGAATTTATAGAGTTCATTGTGGGGCTATACTTGACGGATCACTTGTACATTTTTCTGATGAAGACAATTCATCAGAAGAATAAATATGGAGAGAACACGTTATTTCAACTCACTTCAATTTTCAGCACCCCCGGCCAGCGAGCGGGCTTCAGCATCCATAGATTGGGTTTTTTTATACTACATCAGCTACTAAATATAAAATTTATTTTTATAGTATTGGATATTTCATTCTATAACATAACTAATATAGTTATGTCTTTTTATCAAATTTTACTGTCATTTTAATTCTCATTCTTATAAAAAAAATATGTCACCAACTCCTTAAGAGCGTATAATATCTGTGCCCTACATTAAGTTGAGAGAATATCATCAAAATTCAAAAGAAAGGGAATTGAGTTTTGTCGGAGACTTCTCATTAATATTTTTTTTAACATTTTTCAATGAAAATGTGGGGAAAAAAGTATATTTCTATGTAGATACAAAATATAAATTAAAAAGTAAATATGAATTCAGCACTCTTATTTTATTTTTCATATGCATCAAGTATCGTGATCCTGACGTCCTCTTTTTTTTTTTTTTGGTACATCAAATACTTTATCTTGTATTCTAATCTTTAGGATGCTAGATATAATAAAAAAAAATAATATAACGTATTAGATCTACCGTTAAATGAATAAAATAGATTAGATTTACAATAATATCAACGTTTAAATATATTTTTTAGTGTGATTCTCTTTTTCACATACAGACGTAAAAAGAAGCCCGTTTTCATTTACTGGGAAACGAACACTTTTGCCTCAATCACCAACGTACTATTAATTACTTGGCGGACAGGAAAAAGAAAACCGACAATGCTGTGTACTCTTATTGTCATAACATGTGGTCCCTATTTTATCGACTGAAATATCATGTGGTCACCCTATCATAACATAAAAAGCTTAGACAAGTTTTTGATGAATTATTATGTTATCATGGTTAGGATTTAGGAGGATTAAAGGGAAAGAGATATTAACTACAAATAAATATAGTGACCTTAATTTCATTAATCATCTACAAATAATGACTTCTCGCTCTTCTTTACAAGCTAAGCTGTTCCCAATCTGTAGTAACAAATAATGAAAAGAACCTAGTACATAGAAAACATTATATATACAAATTAAACTATCTTTAACAAAAAACTGACTATGGAGGTGTTTAGATAAAATCAAAATCATAATTTTAAAAATACTTTTAGAATATATAAAGTAAATATGTGAAGCAAATATGTGACGAAAATTATCTCAATTTACAAAAAAAAAATAGTTTTAAAAAATAGTTTTTATCGTATCCAAACATCCCACTAAAAGGGCACCCAAATGTAATGATAGGATCCCCCCCCCCCCTCCCACATAAAAACATATGCATTGTCTATTCGCCACGTCAAAGTAATAAGATGATCTTATCTCGTGCGCCTGGCGAAAGTACAACCACATGGGGACGAACTACATTAAAGTAAATTAATTAAAGGCATGCAATTATTAAAAACTTCCAAAACAAAACCTTAAACGTGAATTCAGATTAATGTCCCGTGCCCATGTCCATAATCTACCTATTTGTTGCTTCATGGTCCTCGAATCATCAGAAAAATTAGCCCCCCCCCCCCCAAAAAAAACAATACTTCCCACCCATTGTCACCGCAAACCTCCATCATTATTCATTACATTTGTAGTGAATGATCTGGATGGATTTAATATTTTATTCCCCTCAGGCCACATCTCTCTTTCTCATTTGTACTCTCGAATAAGTGAATAGAAGTCGGTCTAAGATACTATCTCCAATCTTAAATAGAAGTTCTTATTTATAAACTATAAATAAAGTCTTATTTATTAGGATAGAAGATAGTATTGTTGAAATTTAATCCAAAAAGCTAGTTAGATTTGAATTATTCGCCATATAGGTTCTATGTATATAGTCGATGGTTGAGTTAACTTGTTGGGAAGCGTAGTGGAGACCAATCTTTCATCGGAAGCAGTGACTAATAAGAATCACCGCGTTTATAATTAACGCACGTGTTATGAAAAAATGCAGGGGATTGAATTAATGGGGGTATGAATTAATAGGTGTTAAGGGCCTTAAAAGAACAATAATGCACCGCCAAATTGATGTAATCGTATATTGATATACTGTATCAAAAAACAAATCATATATTGATATATATATATATATATATATTACACAAATCATATATACACACACATATCATATTATTTTTGTCCAAATATTTCAAAGTATAAATATCTAAACTTTAAATATTTAATTTGACCAGAAGATAAGGGTGATGCTGTTCTTACACCTTGGTGTTCCCCTCACGTTGCGTCGCAGGACCACTGCTAACAATTTGAAATTTTTATGTTTATAAGCATGAGAATATATAGACATATTTTTTAAAAGATAAAAGTAGAAATACAAAAATAAAATAAGAATTTTATGCATGAGTTGTATTGTTCTTAATTAGAGATAAGTAAGAATCAATTAACTACTGGCAAAAGTCCAGATGTTTGTGCCAAGATCGAGTCCAAATGTTTGTGCTATCATATTAATTGATGATGGATGAAGTAAGAATCAATTATAGGAAATTAGAACTTTGAAACAAGTGACTCTGTATGATCTAAGCCTTTGTAGTCGCTTTGAGTTAAATAAAAAATAAAACCGAATATAAATGCAATATAGTGTATAATCCGGATCGTTTCCCTCGCGGAAACTTTTTATTTAAAAATCTAAGTTAAACTAAGTACCAAAAACATTGAGAGGGTTTTAAAATTAATTTTCTTTAATAAAACTACTTTGTAAACAATGCAAATTAGATAAATCCTAATTACTTCTTTTTGGGCTTTTTAATAAAATGATAAGTGAAAATATTAATTTGGATTTTAAGGAATTTAATAATGAGATGCTCTTTGAAAAATGAACCAATGACTATCTTAGCTTGGTTAATGATGTGAGAGTAAATTAATTGATAAGGATCATTTTAAAGAAGTTATTCCTTTTAAATTAATTCTCAACGAGAATACTAATTATTTGTTAAATTCACTTCAAGCATAATCTCTACACAACTAGCATAAAAATCATACTAACAATGAATCAACAAAGGTATAAATATATAATTGAATATATATTTATAAACCCAAGTACTCAAACTTAAAATTACCAATCCAAATCTCAACAATTCCAATCCAAACCAAAAATTACAACTAGCAATTCTAAGTTTTAAACTACACATAACAAATTTCAAACCAGAAATCATCAATACATAGTTTAAACTAAATATTAGAACTAGACTCCCCTTTGTAGCTCCCAAGCTCAAGCCATTAAATCCAATCCCAAAGAGCACCAGAAAAAGTATCAGTCACTCGTGATCTTGAACCCAACCACAACGAGCTCCAAGGATTCCGCAGCCATTGTAGATGGTTATGTTGGTGGTCGAAGCTTGAGGAAGAATGAGTCGTCGTTGTGGTTCTGCAGAATGAAGCCACGGCCCCCCTGGTTCCGATTCGGCTGAGAAGAATATGATGCTGGTAGATGATGAAGAAGGACACGGGTGAGGCGGATGAACGGCTATGGTCGCGTTATGGTGAAGGTTGTGGAGAGGTCAAATGTAGATGATGAAGGTTATGGAGAAGGGCAAAGGCGGTCATTTGAGAGAAGTGGTCTGGAGGTCCGAAACCGGAGGTATGGGTGGCGGCCTCCTCCTTTCACCATAGAATGTCCTTTTTCAAATCCATTTGCCCTGATGCTTTGGTCAAAACGGTGAGTTCGATAGCAAGGGTCCTTCACTACAATTTTAAAATTTTGTGGTCCTTCTCCTGCAATTCTTTTAGCTCTTTCTTTTTTTTTTTTAATCCAAATTTTTCAGAATAACCTACAAAATAATTTAACAAATTGTAATATCAAAGATCCCAAAATTTATTAATTAAAAGCAAGCATAAAAATATGACAAAAATAACCTTTTTGCTCTATTTACTAAAATTATTCATTAATTCAAAATATTAATAATAATTGCAAAATAAATTATTTTAGTTGATAAAAACCTCCAAAAAGATACAAAATAACAAGGCAAAATAGAGGTTTACCACTGTATGATGCGCGGCTCTCTTAACAAATACCAGAACACTTGATTCTTGGGAAACAAGTGATTCTATATGAATTTTGACATTCAAAACACATGCTGCCAAGCTGTCCTATTTGATATTAATTGATTGATTCTTGGAAAAATGGAATGACAAATTTGGCAGGAAGAAGGACTAAAACTTGAAAATCATCATTACAGACTCCAAAATTTGCGACTGACCTTCAGGAAATTTTTAAGAATCTATATTAATAGTTCTTGAAACTGGATTGCAGGTCTGCATGCACCTTCAAGGACCTTCAATATTTGATATATACTTCCACCCAATTTTCTCACCCATTTGTTGCTTATAGACCGCTACAACTTAAATTAATATATATATTTATATATTTCCTTGCCTCAAATTGAATTAAAAATAATAGAATTTGACGCTACTGCCCCTGACCCTAGCCCATTATAAATTGGCTCTTTCTCTTGCTCTTGCAATAAACAAGAAAGCATTGCCTTTTTCTTCTCTCAACCTTACCTCCATGGCTTCGAAAACACAAGCTTTGGTCCTCCTCCTTTGGCCCTTGTTGCTCCTCTCTCACTTGAGCTCATCCCAAAGCTGCCCAATTGTCACCTACTGGGGCCAGAATGTGAATGAAGGAGAGTTGGATGCAGCATGCCAAACCAAAAAGTACGAGATCATCAACATAGCATTCATGAACACATTCGGCAATGGCCAAACTCCAGACATAAACCTAGCAGGACACTGTCATTGGTCCTCGGATGTCCCTTGCACTAAATATGCCTCCCAAATAGCCACTTGCCAAAGCTTGGGCGTCAAAATCTTCCTTTCTCTCGGAGGAGCTTCCGGTTCGCTTGCTTCAGCTGAAGATGCCAAAAAATTTGCCTGCCACCTGTGGACCTACTACCTCAGTGGCCAAAGCCCAGGTCTCCTAGGACATGTGGCCTTAGATGGCATTGATTTTGACATCGGAGGAGGTACAAACTTGTACTGGGATGTCCTTCTTAAAGAGCTTTACGCATACACCCAGCAAAAGAAGTTTTACTTATCAGCAGCACCACAATGTCCAATACCAGATTACTACTTAGACACCGCCATCAGAACTGGCCTGTTTGACTACATCTGGGTCCAGTTCTACAACAACCCTCCCTGCGAATACACAGATGGAGATACTCAGAAACTTATAAGTTCATGGAACCAGTGGACCACCACGTTCAACGCCACCAAGTTCTATGTCGGCCTCCCGGCGTCTCCTGCTGCAAATGGTAGTGCCGGTGGTTATGTCCCGATCGATGTGCTCAACAAGGAGATTCTTCCGCAGGTAGAAACCTCTCCCAAGTTTGGTGGGGTGATGTTATGGAGTAGGTACTACGATAGTCTATCGGGATACAGCGATCAGATCGTGTGTAATGCCACTGGAGCTAGCTTTTGAAGCTGTGCGTGCGCCATTGGTTGGCATGTGAAATCTGCCTCCGAGGTTCTGTATCGCGTTTTATAGTAGTACTAGTGTGTAACTGCAACCTCTCTAGCTACTATCGTGCATGGACTAAGTTGTGTGGAAGGCTAGTGCCTTCGATCCTTAAGTGACAACTTGATTCACTCAAATTGTCATCTATAAATAAAAGTTTAATCGATCTTGTGGTTCCTGTGATTTTTTTTTTGGCCCAAAATGCTGTTAAGATTTGACTTGAGTGTTTTATAACAAGGTATTGAAAACTACACCGGACTCTGAATAAGTCGAGATAGTGGGTAAAAGGTTAATGGGTAAGTTAGAGTTAAAAGAGGGTCAAAACAATGAGGAATAAAAAAAATTAAAAATTAATGTAAATTCTAATCATGTCACCAAAAGACTAAATATTAATTTAATATCTTAAATCTCTAACAAAATAATCATATACTTACATTGTCTTTCCATTTTTCCTACAATTCTCTTGATAAGTTGACATCACATTATCATATTATTAAAATCACTAAATATTCATTCGAGGAGAATATCAAGATAGAGTTATGACAACAAAATACTCCAATCTACAATCCTTTAGTCATTAAATAATACTCCTCTGGTCCTATTTATGCGGCAGAGAGAGAAGATTTTTTTGGTCCTATTTATAAGTCACTTCATTAAATTTGCGGTGTGAATGTACTATTTTATCTTTCATTCATTATGGTGTAAGTAGTTATCTTTTTTGAAAAGTGTATATATTAAATATGGGTAAAGTTAGAAATTATTATATTTTAATGGAGAGTTAATGTATTTTAAGGTTTTCTTTGGTTTGTGTGAAATATGTTGAAAGTACCTTATGGTGAAAACATGCCAGGCCAGGCCTGTGTGATGAGGCCTGTTGGCTTGAGCCTGGCTGCAGCCTGTGAAAGGCCTTTTTTTCGGCTTGAGCCTGGCTTGTGGCCTGTTAAGAGGTTTGTTTTTTTAACAAATTTTAAATACACATAAATCAATTCAAGATTACAATAATTCAACCCAATTTATCTAAAATACAAATAGAAAATATGAAATTATTAAATTAACACAACTTGTAAAACATCCCCTTAGGCCCAAAAAAATCAAATATGAAAAATTATTAGAAAACATAATTTTATTCTGGTATAAAAATATCACTTCATCCCATCTCTAGTATAAAAATTAGTTGATGACTAGATCTAGTTTAAAATATTAGACATCCTTAATCCCCTTTATATTTTAAATTTGTCATTTGTTCAAACTAATTTACTAACAAAATAATAGTTGATCCTGTTGTTACACATGGTTGTTTTAAAAAAAAATATGTTACATTTATTATAATTTATTTAAATTAATTAAGTAACTGTTATAATAAGAATTAGATTGAGCACACATATATAGAGACTGTATATACGCAATTTTATCTAAATAATTAATACACATTACACACACATCATTGACTATTAATTCATTTTGCAAAGACTAATTTATTAACTTATTTTCTGGCAGCATTTGAAGACTTTTCCTTGTATTCGGCCTAACAAATTAAAAAACAGATGTCCGTTACCAAAATGATTTTGGAGCTATGTAATTCCATTAGCAGCCAATTGATACGTGTTTAACATGAGATGGCGTCATCCTACTGGATCTAATTGACACGTCAGCGACACAAATGTGAAGAAAAAGTTCAATAAATAAAAAAGAAGCGAATATGCATATTTCATTTGCGAACTTGTGCATTGCAGGATCAATTATATAATACAGTCTAAAGCATAATAGGTAAATTATATATATATATATATAAAACATAATAGGTCAATTATATATATTTTATATAAAATTAATATGAAAAGCATGGATCAAATAAATGAATGATACTTTTTTTTTATGCACTTATGTTTTCTTTCTCTGTTTAAATATGTGTTATTATACATACATCAATTATTTTTATTAGAGAGAATGGAAATGAAATGAAGCATGCAATGAGCTCTGGATAACACATTTATGTGGGTGGAGTTTTCTCAATTAACCAATCAGAATAACAGATTCCCTCCTGTCCATTTATAATTTTAACCTCAAAAAAAAAAAGGATAACAGGTCCAGGCCACCTGACAGGCCTAACAGGCTTATTATCAGGCTTGAGCCTGGCCTGATAAAGCAAACAGGCCTTTTTACAAGCCTAAGCCTATTCTGACATCTAAATAGGCCAGGTCAGGCCATTTATAGGCCATGCCACAGGCCGCCTGACCTATTTTCACCCCTACTTATAAATAGAACCAGAGGAGTAATATTTTTAGCATTAAAATAACTTTAAAAAAAACACACACGCAACTTGGTTAACCCACCAAACCGGTCTGGTTAACTGGGTTTCTCCTGAGTTGCAACGGGTAAGGGTGAAAACAGGTCAGGTTAGGCCAAACCTTACTCTTAACAGTCCAGGCCTATTTTGTAGCCTATTGGCCTGATCCTAGCCTGTAGCCTGTTACAGGCTTATTTTTCAGCCTGAGCCTGGCTTGTGTAAAGGCCTGGCTGGCCTGAAGCCTGTTAAAAAGCCTATATTTTTTAAAAATTTAAATTATAGTTATATTTTTTTAAAAAAAAAAGCTTACATAATAATTAATTTTTTAGTATTGTCTTTTATTTAAATTTTAGTATCATAAGTACTATTTTAAATCTTAATTACAATTTACAAGGAACAAGACTAATTGAAAACTAATTGTAATTGTATGTTAAAATTTGGAACAAGACTGCGTTTAAGTACATACTAAAAATTAAAATTAAGACAAATAAATAAAGAGAAAAAAACTATTAATTTTACAATGAATAAAGAAGGTATCATAACTTAATTAACATAATACATAATTAATTTATACTTGGAACAAAATTTTTCTTTCCTATTTTATTTATATTTTTAAGATTTAAAGATCATATTATTTATTGATATTATTATTTTAAATTATATTTTTATCTTCACTTGTCAACTAAACTTTAAAATCTAAAGAAGAATTAAGTTATTAACTATATATTAAAATTAAAAAATAAATTAAAAGAGCACATTAACAATAATATCATTAACTAATTTTTTGTATATTATAATTGTAAATTTTTAACAGATCCAGGCCGGTCTATTAGGCTTAACAGGCCTTTTAAAGAGCCTAGACCTGGCCTGTTTAGTTAAACAGACATTTAAACGGGAATGAGCCTACTTCTGGAAAACAGGCCAGGCCATAGGCCCCTGACAGGCCGCATGGCCTGTTTTCATCCCTAGTAACCGGTCATATCAGTCAACCCACCTGCCAGTTTTTATGACTGACTAGACCGGTCAGGTGACCGTTGGCCAATTTCCAGTCTAACCTGGCTTGTGCGGTCGGGAATAGCACTTCATCACACACTTTCACCATCATTTTCTTCCTCAAACCCATCTTCTTTCTTTTCTCTTTTCTCACACCCAAAGTATCTTGTATATGCTTGAGTGTTTTTGGTCGTGAAGGCCCATCTATTACAGTATTAAGTGGTTTTCCCCCTTTCAGCGTGACTGCTTGCAAACCGATGAATATTGCAGGAGGCGAGATGAAAGCCAAAAGTCTCAGGCCTTGCTTTGTTGTTGAGGTTAATAAGAGAGAAAAAAAAAATGAGTAAAAAGATGCATCAAAAAGAGAGTTTTAAAAAAAAAAAAGGAGCTTTTTAAAAAAATTATTAAAATATTATAAATCTGAAAATTCACACATAAGCTGCTATGTAGGTTTAAATTTGTCCAAATGGAATGTTTTTATCGGTTAGTGTACAGGTGAGCTGGTACCCAGTACCTAAGAATTCCTCAACTTATTCGCCATATGCATTATCTATTTCCCGCATACGCGCCCAGCAAGGGCAAAACTTGTGGCCTCTGGGAATTGATGAACGAAGCAATATCCAAAGGATATCACTTTTGTAAACCAGCTGGCAATAAGACAAAGGCAATTATTAGAAACTATCAAAATAGTGCGTTAGAGGTACAACCGATTATCACGTTCTCATCGGTCGTTGTTGCTTTATGGTCCTAGAATAGTATCAACAAAAAAGTTTTTCCCTGCAGTACTTCCCCCCAACACACCATTTTCACTGTAGATCTAGATCGTTGGATTTGTAGTGAATGGATAAGATTAATATATACTATCTCCTATCCTTAATATAAAAATTGATTAATTCGAGTATATTAAGTAGATTTGTTAAGTTGGTTATTTATAATAATTATGTACTGTCTTTCATAAAATACCCTTACTAACCAAATGTATATATTTGCTTTAATATTTGATGAAACTTTTTAATATGTGCAACTACTATAAAAACTACTTTAAAAAATAAATAAATATGAAAATAAAGTAGACTGAGATATTATATTTATGATCAAATTAAAAGTTAAATCAGCTCTTATATTAAAAACCAGAAATAGCATTTTATAAAAAAAAAAATAGTAGTTACGTTTGAATTGCTAACTGCAAATTTGATGGTTGATTCACGATGAATGTGAAGTGAATGGAAATCGTAGTTGAGACAATCAGTGACTAATTAAGCTTCGTCCTTCATAACGAATAGCTATAAATAGATCTTCCATTCCTCAAGATTTTCTTGCATAGGATTAGGATCAATCTAGCTACTAGAAAGCATACCAGGAAACGTTGTCTTGGATGGATTGATTTTGACATTGAAGGCAGTGAAAACTCGTACCATATGTGATGTTCTCGTGAAAGAGCTTTACGCATACACCCAAAATAAGACTCACCTATTAGCGGCACCACATTGTGACCACATTCTGAAATATTTATAACTCTGAATAACTATGGGTGAGATTATAAGCACACTAATTAGCTAGGGGGCAATAAATCGCTACATTATAATTTAGAAGATTCCTTCAATAGTGCACATTATGATGCCTTTTCAAGCCTCATAAAACTACATCCACATAATTACCTCAGACATGCATGAGTTTTCTATTTGCCACATCAAATATTACGCACACAAGGTACAGGCATATGGAAACCATGCAATATCCGACCAATTAATTCTTCTTTGAAAAGCATTGCTACCCACAAATGCAGTATAACAAGAAGCAATAATTATGGGGAAAAAAACCAATTCACACTAATGAGAGGAACCGAACTAAACATAGCAAGCATATGGTCCTCTAGCCAGTTGCTGTTATGTTCCCTGTGTCAGATGTTAATCTTCTATCTCACGCGATACTCTCTTATGATATGGGGAATAGGATCAATCTAGCTACCACGTATCCAAAGGTTCTTTATTCACGGCTAAAACTGAAGACTAAAACATGGAAAAGAATTTATTTGATGTTAAATGACCCTAGCCCTAGCCCTTTATAAATAGGTTGTTTCTGTTGCCTGTTCTAAAAAAAAAAAAAAGGAACATTATCTTTGCTCCAATCACTCCGCATTCATGGTTTCCAATATATACATAGGTTCCATCCTCCTTCTTTGTCCTTACTGCTGTCTCACTTCAGCTCTGCCAAGGAACTAGGAATTGTCGCGTGCTGGGGCCAGAATGTGCGTGAACGAGAGTTGGATGAAGCATGTGCCACCGGGAATTACGAGATAGTAAACATAGCATTCCTCTGCATCTTCGGCAATGGACAAACTCCAGACATAAACCTGTCTGGACATTGTTCTGAATGCTGGGGTGCCCCTTGCACTAAATATGCCTCCCAAATAGCTTACTGCCAAAGCAAAGACGTCAAAATCTTCCTTTCTTTCAGAGAAGACTCCCGGAGATATTCACTTTCTTCAGGTCAAGACGCCAAACGAGTTGCAGACTACCTCTGGACCAACTTTCTCGGTGGCCATCAGAATAATTCAGAAGGCCTGCTAGGAAACACGGTTTTAGATGACATCGCCTTGGGCATCAAACAAGGTGGAACCTATTATCATGATGATCTTGCCAAGGAGCTTGACTCCTACTGAAAGGTAAAAGATTTTCACCAATCAGCCTCACCAAAATGTGCAATCCCAGATCCATGCTTGGACTCAGCCATTGAAACTGCACTCTTCGACCATGTTTGAGTTCTGTTCTACAATAACCCTTCGTGCCAATATTCTCCTTGGAATACTCAGAACCTTATGCACTCGTGGAACCAGTGGACTGACTTCCCCATCTCCAAGTTATATCTTGGCCTCCCGGCATCTCCGGCGAAAACTGGCAGGGCTGGTGGCTATATCCCAGCAGACGAGCTAAACCATAAGATTCTTCCACGCATAAAAAGCTCTCCCAATTACAGTGGTGTTATGTTATGGAGCTATGATATATATATATATATATATATAGATTCTGGGTATAGCGGTAAGATCAAATCTGGTACTACTCTTGGAGCGTTCAATAATGTTGCCAAGATCTAATCAACCTCAAGAGTGCTGTGTTGCCTTTTATCGCTGTCCTATAGCTAGTGTGACTGCAACTTTTCTAGCTACCATCATGTATGGAATAAGCTGTGGGAGGCAAAGTGCCTTCGGTCCTTAAGTGACGACTTGATTATGCTCAAATTATCATTATGAATGCAACTTTAATCATATGTAGCATGTACCAGTCTTCTTTTATATATATAAATTTTTATTTAATTTTTTTTGGTTTCTCCTTCATTAAATTTAGATGTCAAAACTGAAAATAAAGGGAAAAATTTTTAAATGTAACAATTATTTAGTATTCACATGTATCCATACAATGACTGATACAGAAAGATGAAGCCAAAAGGGAAAAAAAAAAAAAAGTTCCATATGCATACTCATATCACACATAAATTTAATGTGCAGAAGGATGCTGCCAAAAAAAAAGGTTTCACATGCATCCTCATTGCTGTCACCTCACACATACATTTCCCAACCTATAGTGTATATTGATTGTCTTGCTTGGGTGCCTCAACATTTTTAAATGGTATTTACACGTTAGGCAGTCATGTTATTATATGTTATCCTTTGAATGAATGTATAGATATACAAAATTTAATTTAGCAAAATGATAAGGATGATGCTTCTCTCACACACATACACTTCGCAGGACCATGATAGAAATCTGAATTTTTATATTTTATAGAAATAACTATATATGACATATTTTTAAGAGATGAAAAAAATAATATGAAAATGAAATAATTATATAATCTATATAAAAATTAATTTAATGCTTCAACCTGATGAAGAAGAGAACACTATATATTAAAACCAAATATTATATATATTCCTCAAAATTAAAAAATTCGGGGTAACTATTCCTTTATTAATACTCGATGTGCGAAGCAATTATTAAAAATGTGATGTGATGGAAGGACTAGAGATAAACTTAATCAAAAAGGTATGCGATTATGACGTTTGAACTTTTAATATTCCATGATTAAAAATCACCTGTGTGTAGTACCATTATATTTCTTACATCATGAATTTAAACGTGCTAATGTGCTATACATATAATTCCATTTCTCCACACCATCATCAGCTGGCAATCGTGTCGTTTTCTTTTGTTTTATTAGAGATATAATTCCATTCTTTCCTTTTCCCTTCCCATTTTTTTTGCTCTTCCTCTTTTTCTAATCATAAAATCAATATTTAAATGGTTTAGATTTTATTTCCCTACAAATTAAAATGTTTTTTAATCTTTTTAATGCAACTATTCATATCAAATTTTAGTGGCATAAATTTAATTATTTATTTTTATTTTATAATTTAACATTTGGATAATAATTTGAATTATATGACACATTCATTACAAAATATGTGTACCGAATCGATGAGTAATGTTAAATTGGATGTAATGCTTGGCTCATCATCATTTAGCAAGTGCACCGCAAAAAGTGATCATTACACACATGATATCTTTTTTTTTTTGGAATTATTTTTGGTTCTCTTTAAATATGTCCTTAATTAAATAGAGATATTTTTTTAAAAGATCACTTCTTAAAGTTGAAAACACTTATAAAGTAGGAGAAGTTTTCTTAAAAAATATTGTAAAATATCGTAAAATTCCAAACTATATAGTATAAAAAAGAGACATAAACTTCTTGAAAAAAATGATGTATCTAGAAGCGTAGGAAGACCAAAGATGGACGATCGTGGTTACCTAGCTAGTGGTTACATAGCTTGGGGGGTCCTTGAGGAAAATGGCTACAAAATTCAACATTCACAGCACGTGCTACGTAAAAGTCTTAATATTCTTATAGGGAATAGGATCAATTTAGTTTAATTAATGATGCATTTCCTTGCTTCAACATGAGTTAAAAATAATAGAATTTGACGCTAATGACCCTAGCCCTAGCTAGCCCATTATTATAAATTGGCCGTTTTTGTTGTTCCTGCTAAAACAAGAAAGCACATTGCCTTTGGCTTCTCTCAACCTTTACTTTCATGTCTTCCAAAACACAAGCTCTAGTCCTCCTCCTTTCACCCTTATTGCTGCTCTCTCACTTGAGCTCATCCCAAGGCTGCCCAATTGTTACCTACTGGGGACAGAATGTGAATGAAGGAGAGTTGAGCACAGCATGCGACACCGGAAAGTATGAGATCATCAACATAGCATTCATGAACACATTCGGCAATGGGCAAACTCCAAATATAGACCTCTCAGGACATTGTTCTGGGTCTTGGGGTGTCCCTTGCACTAAATATGCCTCCCAAATAGCCTATTGCCAAGGCCTAGGCATCAAAATCTTCCTTCCTCTAGGAGGAGCCTTTGGTCAATATGGCCTTTCTTCAACTCAAGATGCCCAGGAGTTTGCACAACACTTCTGGACCTACTACCTCAGTTGGCCAAAGCCCAGGTCTCCCCGTAAACGTGACCTTAGATGGCATTGATTTTGACATCGAAGCTGGTTCAAACTTGTACTGGGATGTCCTTCTTAAAGATCTTTACACGTACAAGGAAGTAAATACCTTCTATTTATCAGCAGCGCCACAATGCCCAATCACTACTTAGACACCGCCATCAGAACTGGCCTGTTCGACTACACCTGGGTCCAGTTCTACAACAACCCTCCCTGCAAATACACAGATGATGGAGATACTCAGAAACTCATAAGTTCATGGAACCAGTGGACGACCGCCTTCAACGCCACCAAGTTCTATGTCGCCTCCCGGCGTCTCCCGCTGCAAACGGTAGTGCCGGTGGTTATGTCCCGATCGATGTGCTCAACAAGGAGATTCTTCCGCTGGTGGAAACCTCTCCCAAGTTTGGTGGGGTTATGTTATGGAGCAGGTACTACGATTATCTATCTGGGTACAGTGGTAAAATCAACTGTACTGCCTCTGCAGCTCTTAAGGTTGTCCGTGCGCCGTTGGTTGCCCTGATGAAATCTGCGTCGGAGGTTCTGTATTGCCTTTTATCGCAGTACTAGACTGTTACTCCAGCCTCTCTAGCCACTATGTCATGTATGGAATCAATTGTCAGAGGCTAGTGCGTTTCTTCCTTGTTAAGTGATGAAAGCCTGATTCTAGTCAGGTTATCATCGATAAGAAATAAAACCTTTAATCGAGTACGTGATACTGTTCTTTTAAGGTTTTACTAGTTTTTGTTTCTTGTTCATTTTGACAATGGTTGCGGTCGTATCCGTCTGGTGCGTGCAGCTGGCACAGCTAATTAAAACAAATCAACTTGTACCCATAACTCAGCGACGACATTACTTATTATTTAATTAATTAGGCCCCAGCCCGTTCTAATATTCTGGTACTAATATTAAAATACAAGCCAAGAATGTCTGGCTAGCTAGCTTCGCCTTTAACATGAGACACATATAAACGTCCTTCTACCTCGCGAGATTTTCTTCTATAGGGAATAGAATCAATCATAGGTTCTTTTGTCCATAGCTACGTTATAAGAAGTAAAATTTCAAGATAATACTCCTCTTACTTTGTGGAAAATATATCGACGTTAATGTGACCGCCGTCCAAGGCCATAGTTAGCTGGTGCTCCTTCGCTCACAACTTCTTCCTATTTTCCGATCATCTTTGGTGTTTTTCTTTTTTGGCTATGTCCATAAATTATTTTTATCAATAATGCAACCATATTCATATTTGTACTTCATAGTATTTATCTATATTTTTTCTTGATTAAAATATTTTAAATTTTAATATAGATTTGTATCTAAAAATGCGTGATGATCTATCATACCTTGAAAGAACATATTAAAACATTTTTCTGTTTTAGTTGATATTTGTTTTTTTTTGGTTAATGTCCATAATTTTTTTTGCCGATATATGGACAAATATTTCACATATTTGTACTTCAAATTATTTATTTATATTTTCTCTAAGGACATGCATGTGTTAAATTGTAGTTTAAATTTACCTTTAAAAACTGCTCGACGAGCATATATTTAGGAGAAGCTCAAAACCTTTTTCTTTTTTCATTGGTCTTTGACGATTTCTTAAATCCTCTCTCTCTCACACACAATTTGTTCATTCCAACGCTCTATATGAAAATTAATATTCCATTATGGCTTCATCTTTTCTTCTTGGTTTAAGATCTCAGCAGCCAGGCTTTAAAAGTACCAACGCGTGGTCGTATGCAAAAATAGTTTCAGACACTTACAATATGTGCTCCTTTTATCTATACATAGAGGCATATATATTCCGGACAACAAGATGGATCTTTTACAATGCTTTGAGGTACAATAGAACGTAGCTGTTTATTATTACTTACAATATTTTTCAGCTTTATATTAAAATATCCATAAGCCAATCCGCAGTTGCCATGCATAATATTTTTGTATATATTCTCGTTGCTAGAGACAATAAGTAAGAATCAAGAATCAACTAAGAGATAATTACAACTAAGATATGTACAAGGCATTTGCGTGCATCGTCACTCGTCATATTGTGGAAAAGAGGGGGAAAAAAAAGAAGGAAATTTGACGTGGAAAACCCTAGCCCTAGTCCATTATTTTCATATGTGAGAGTTCTCGTCGTTGCACTTTAATATTATT